TTATATATTATTTGACTACCAAAAAATATGATCTAATAATAGTTTGCTGTTATATCGTACTGGCCACTTTGAATTAAAATTAAACCTGCATGGTGTCAGATTTCAGAGTGAAACTATTTTCACAAAAATATTCTTAATTTGAAAAATCGTATATTTTGATTGTTCGACTTTCAACCGTTTCTAGATTCAGCTTTTAACGTGAAGATGGATACAGCGAAAATCAGAGTAATTTTCGAATACGAATTCCCACATGGGGTAACGCAGTAGAAACTGCTCGTAATGTCAATGCTGTGCTCGGAGAGGATACGGCTAACGAACGCACCCGTATTTCGACAATTTTCGAAATTTCAATGAGCCACTAGGAAGACCATGCACATATAAATATCGATGAATTGAAAGTGATGATGGAAGCCGATCCGTATCAAATTATCAAGGAATTAGCGGCATGGTTTAATGTTAGCATACCCACAATATGACATATGGCATTTGAACAATGACGGCGAAACTCGCAGGAAAACAGCTTCACCATTATTGCTTCATAATAACGCAACACCTTACACTGCTCGAGGAACAGTTTTAATACTACAAGATCGGCAGTTAGAAACCATCCGTCATCCTACATACTCGCCGCACCTCGCCCCATCCGACTGCCATTTTTTCCGCGATTTGGAGTATTTTTTACACGAAAAAAAATAAAATTATTCCCAGGAAGCAGTACGTAATGCCTTCACACAGCTTGCGGAGTCCAGGTCCCCAGAGTTCTATCGCAAAGGTTTAAATGACCTTCCGATTAGATGGCAGAAATGTATAGACAACGTGGGTAAATACTTTGATTAGACAGATATATTTTATCTTACAAAAAAGTTTAAACCTCCAATGCAAAGCATTTTGTTTCAGCCCTCTAGATATAAATGTATGCAGCATGTTTCCTTTTCTTAATTGATTGGTTAATTTCCATAAAACGAGCTATATATATAATTTTTAGGCAGTCGTTTCCGTTATCCCTCTACATTTATTTCATTATACATGATAGCAGGGTTGGGCAAAATACGAATTCCAAATATAAATGCAAAATACGGCATTTTGACTTCATCTAATTAAAATACAAAATAAACATTATTGAATAATAATCGTTGCAACTAATGCCACCTAAATACCAGGTATTTGAAATGCCAACAACGAAATACAATAACGTTGATACAATAGATAAACGGCGCCAGCCTCCGTCTAATTTATAATCTCAGAACAGAATACTATTTATTTGTAATAAAATTTAGGCGCAATATACAAATGAATCTTCATGCGTGAACAGCCACCCTTAGAGGTGGATGATTTTCTTCAAAATTAAATAGGACCACTATGGAGGAACTCGTTTTCTAACCAAAAAAGAATCATGAAAATTGGTGTGTATGGGTGGAAAAAATGAAAAAAGATACAGTCGAATTGAGAACCTCCTCCTTTTTTTTTGAAGTCGGTTAAAAATAATGTGCTATACAATCACACCAGTAATATCTCATTTCGATACCTCCAATGAACAAACACTGCCAACTTAATTTTTGGACCTGTTCTGTTTTTATTTTTTTTTGTCACAAAATTCGTTTTATTGTTTCTGTATATTTAAAAAAAGATCGGGTACTTATTAGTAAATGTGGGTGTTTACAAAAATTACAGAAAATGAACAAAAAATAAAGTTGGCGTAGTGTTTAAAATTAGGCAAAGTTCGTTTTGTACATCATACGAAAAACCTGCTAAGTCCGCCATTTTTGCTTAATTGAAGTCAAAGTACATTTTATAAATCTTAGCGTGAGGAATTCTTTAATTACAAATTAGATATTTTTAATATTATTGTATTGTTCATTATTTTTGCTTTTCATTATTAATTATTTACGTATCATAAAGTGTAACACTCTGTAAACGTCTACGTACTGCTAATATTTAAGGTTCTTTTTAAAAACCTCTGCTTCAGTTGTCTTGGAACTCATAGTTCGATCTCTTTGACGGTTTACATTGTGGGCGCTGGATGAGGAGATCCCGGATTCCCGGTACGACCAAATTGGGAAATAAACTTTTCAAAATTTGTTCTGGTTTGGTTCTTTTTTTGGGAAATGCCCCAGAATGAATTCCGCTGCTCTGGTACTCATAGTACAGGTAAATCCCTAGTTTTAGACCAGGCAATGGTGTAGTTGTCTAGCACTTATATACATTATTATTATTATAGTACTGGGCTACGAAATAGCACGATAGGATTTGATTTTGACGATTTGCGAGAATATTGCGAGAAGCAACATATTGCGCTTTATATCGCTCTCGCCTTAATCGCGTCTTGTCGTGCTAGCCCTACTGTATAACGAAACTAACACCTCACTCACAAACACTGGTTAGAATTAGTTTCAAAGTTTGTTGAGGACTCTAGTCCTCAGACTAGTTCTTAGATGCCAGATGAATGATGAAGAAGGCGGATTCTAATCCGCCTTCTTCATCTAGCTTCCACAATGCTAACCGCTGTGCCCTCAAGATCGTCGTCGTTAGTCATTCAACAAGGACACTGTAGTAAGTTTTAAACGCGGAATAACCGTAATAAATTGTCTGTAAAAAGGATCTAATCTGTCTACGTAATGACCCAGTTAGGAATCCGTTGCGTGACGACCCGAAACGTCGTTTTTAATTACTTGTACCGTCACGAACGAAAAAGCCTACATGGCAGGTCAAGCTCTTATATTTACTGAGCATCTAAGTACACTGAATTCTTGGTAAATATTACAAAGAAGGATGGCGACATCCCGTGTATCTTGTGACCCAGTGTTTTTGACGATGTGCATTAAAGAGGTCTATCAATACTTGTGATTCATTATCAAAGCTTCAGAAAAGCTAATTGAGTAAAGCCTGTAGAAGCAGGGGTTATAAAGTTACTATAGGTTATGTTATAACAGAAAACAACAAGTTTTCAGTTTGTTCCCAAACATAATAAAAAACTTGCTAAATATTCCCAAATCTGCCAAACTCTGCAACATTTAATACAACGTTAGCTTGTTCCGCCGCAATGAAAATGAATAAAATTAAATCTCCCCAAATGGCAGAAATCTGCCACAAATGGTCACACTGTTCTCAATCACAATATGTGACATTGACATTGGCAAGAGGCGTCTTGTCAAAACGTTCCTTTGCTAACTTTCTTATCTTTCTTTACTCTATGTCATTACTGTCTAGTTGATTATTTGATTAGGTATTATAAAGCTTTAATATTTTATGTGTGTACTATAACATAACCAATACTATAGGTAGGTAAACATTCAATCTGCTTAAAATGAAACGTATGTACAAGAACGTTACATAATCTATGGCGAACTGAATCAATTGTGTTGTTCTTGCATTTGTTCTAAAATACATTGTTTTACAATTTCTTTATTCCCGATTTCTAAAAATATACAAAAATATAATGATAACTAGGCATAAACTAAAACGTATAATTATACTGGAAAAGTCCATGAACGACTCTTCTTTGATTTTATAATTATTGGGTCAGTTTTCGCCAACCTTCTTTTTGTATTGTTTTACTCCTTGCTACACAAAAAACGAACAAAAGACAAAAAAAAAACAGAGTCTGCGGCACTATTGCTAGAAGCTTTAAAATAATAATTGCATTATTATTTTTATTGAAAATCATGATGTTTTTGCTACTATGATATTAATAAAAATTAAAGTAAATTAATTTGCTACTCCACGAACCCAGTTGAGTAAAAAACTAACTCAATTAAAAAAATAACCGCGTAAAAAAATATTCAACAAACGCGCAGCCATTTTGCACGATTTTTCCTCCACTGGGTTCGCCGAGTAGCAAATTAATTTACTTCCATTTTTATTAACATGAACTTCCGCAAAGTAACGCATGAATCTATTAATTACCTACCACGTTATTCATCTATTTTCTGTAAAAATACTTCACTATCTTGTTATTATTATTGATACAAAGGACTTCCGAATCCGGGCTTGCACCAATTTGAAATTTACCATTTTCGGTGAAAGAAAACAACTTGAGGAAACATCTGCGCATTTGCTAAACAATGTAATCATAAATGTGTGTGAAGTTCCCTATCCGCATTGGGTTCGCATGGGAACTACAGCCCAAGCCCCATAATTGTGAGAAAAGACCTGTACCTAGCAGTGGGACTATATAAAGCTAACTATTATAATATAATTTCATAAACTGAATCAAAGATTGATGACAAAATATTTGATATAGTAATGTGTAATCTAAACAAAAAGTAATGACAACTGTCATACCCCTACGGGATGTCATAGTAGTAAGTTGCCTAATGGATCTTGTATTATTGTTACTTATATTTCGAATAAATAAATAAACATTTTACTAATTCATTCAGTTTTCATTTTACTATACATCGCTGCAAACTTGTCAATCTCAATAACTTATTATAAAGGAATTTATTAAATATCTGTGTTCCACGAGCTCGCTATTTCGAACTTATAGAAATTATAAAGCGCAATTTATAACTTAAATTCTGAATTTGAAGTAACAGTCGTCATATAGCAAACAGGAAATTCTACTGAAAACTATGTAATAACAGCATCGTTACATATTACATTACGTATGATTTAAGTATGCCGCTATGTCGTCAGTCCGTTTTTACAATTCGAGAAACGTTACAAGACTTACATCTAGCACGCAAGTTACTGAACTCCCATTTGTTTTACTGACGGCTTAACACATAATTAGAAGTTAATGTTGTGGTGGGTAGTTAGTTAGAGCTATGACCTGTACTTTGGTTCTAATTAGTGTACACGGTGTTGATTAAATCCGTGCAATGTTAGTTTATGTAGCACTTATGGTGGTTTCTTTGCCAGGAGATTGGCATAAATCTTTTTTACTTTTGCTATGTAATAAAACCAGTAGCTCTGATGCGAAATCTAAAATTCAGGGTCAGGTTTAATCGTCAAATGAAAACAAATGGGATTCTTGTAGTATAAAAATGGTTGTGACTTACCAGAGGCGTCGACTTGCGAGGTGAGGAAGAGTAGGCAGGCAAACAGCAGAGCGGCGGTGCGGTGGAGCGCGCGGCGCCCCTCTCGCATTTTACCGGCGCCGGGCCGCGCCTGCGCCAAGTACAATGTGACAGCTCTGCGCCGACAACCTTCCCTTGCGCCCCGTACGCACCATCACCGCGCACCCCGTGCGCTAACAAAATGGCGGCCCACAACAAAATGGCGCCCTACTTTACTTACGATACAGCTTACACTATACACATCACAACCGAGTTTTGCCACTTTAAAAAGATAAAATTTGAATATTACGACTACATAAAACTAATTTTCCATTATCACAAAAATACGACAACCGCTTCGATGATTAAAAATTTCGAAATATTTTCATTTATAAGCTAGTAGTTGTAAAGATAACACGTAGACAACGACGATGAATTTTCAAAAAAATTTAACTTTTTATCTATATGTACAACAATTTGAAATGTTTTTTTTTCGTTGGATATATATGTATTATGGCTTTTTTCTTCTAAAGTTTGATTAAGCGTTGTTTAGTCTGCGCGGGAGCGTTAGGAAGCACAGTTTTTGGTTGAAAACATTCAACCATATTCCATTGTTGTTCACTATTGTCTTTCTCAACTGCACTGTTTCAAGTTGCCACTGCACGGACGCGTTCGTGTGAGACCACTGGCACTAGATTTCTCAATCAAACACATTTTTTATTGTTTAGAGCCAGAAGCGTATATTATCCTCCCGTTTTGACGACCTGTAAGCAGTTACAATAATGTTATACGTCAGCATGAATTGCTTTCATGTTGGCGAACAACGGTGTGAAAGAAAATGGAATTGAAATGCGCATTAACTCTTAACGTATTAATATCAATAAGGACGCTTTCGACGGAGATCTGGTCTTTGTTTTTTTAATAAACCTAACAATGTGCCCTTTTTTATCATTACGTCCACATGACAGTCATGGTCTATTACGTTAAGAAAATCTAAAAAATATTTACACAATGACAAAACAAACTCCCCGAAAGAATCACTATCGAATTTAATAAGATAAATTCTCACGCCAGAAAGAGACGACTAGATTCGGAACAAAATGTAGAGTCCTATAATAGAGAGCAGGACAGTTGGCGGCAGTTTGCACAACTTATAACTTCAATAAGGCTGGACCAGGTGTGACCGGCTGAATAGAGATATTTGCATGGAATCTCTGAGTTGGTTAAGATATTACGTAACAGATAGTTATGCTAGAGGTAAGCGTTTTTCGTTACGTGACAGAGGACTAGTGCTTTAAATTCTTTGCAATATTATCACATATGTTACCATACTGCACATACACGTATTATTCATACATGTATGGTGCAATAAGAATTTCGTGAGTATAATAAAATTGCACGCTGACATACCTATGAATATTAATAAAAAGAAGTCTGGCAATAATAATCCATCATTCAACGGAACCGTTTAATCATATCTCGATCTTAATTTATGAACCCACAAGTGGAAATTAACGAACAGCAGACACGTAACGTAACTATAGAACGTTATACAGACGATGCTCCAAACCCTCCATTAGAGGGATTGACGATGATGATCGCTATTTGTCGTTGAAAAAGTCGTCAGAAAGTTCTGCAAAATGTTTGAATTCAAGACAGTTGGAAAACATGTGAAGGATCCAATTTGTCGTCGACTACGGTCTAAACCCTCTTCTTTGAGAAGACCCGTACCCATCATTGGGACGTATGACGTTGTAGATAGATGGTTATACACTTCATTGCTCACACACAAGAACAAAAATAGTTCTTATGTAGGCAGCTTAAAACTGTTGTGGCAAAGGCGGTCTTATCGCTAAGAGAGATCTCTTCCAGACAACCTTTGAGATATAAGAAAGCTAATCAGAGCGAGATACGTAAAATTTTATTTTATCAAATTATAAATAACGATATATACACGTTGCAGACTAGGACAGTGCCAGAAGATATTTACGCAATCCCGTTTTAAAAATAGGAAACGACTTACAATTACGGATAGACTACTGTTCCATTTTTGTGTTGAACCGCGCCATTGCATCGCTACACTTGCAAAACGCGCGACTGCGTCGTTACAAACGCGCGATTGCATCGATGCAATCGCCTATAAATCCCAAGTGTAGCGCGATGTTTGCATCGCTGCTTTAAATCGCGCGCGTCTAAAATTAGACGATTAGCGATTACAGCATCAGCATCACTACTGCACCGCGTTTGCATTGCTGCCAAAAGAAGCCGTGTGTAAGCGCTCTTAATCGTAAATGGGTCTTTGAAATACTCCGAGCGAGTGAAAGGAGGTTTCAGTAGATTATCTGTTTTAGACCTAAATGCACAGTTTTGATTTTTCCTGAGGAAGCGAAAAGGTAATAATAGTCCCATAAGGTAAGGTTGTAGTGATTCGAATACATTTTGAACAAAAAATCGCAATACAGGACAATCAATATTATTATACATATATATAAAATTTCACATAACAATGTAAACCTAACAAATTTTAATAATACAACACTATAAGGTTATATTGTAGGAGATTGATGCCTAAAACAGGAGCAGTACTTGTCATCCAGAACAACATTTGTTCCCTTTGGGAATGTCCGTGTAATAAGTAACATAAAACTCGTTATAAACACTGCGTTAAGCAAATCAAAGCCATGCACAAATGAACATTATTAAGGTGAGTCACCGGAGGAGAAACTGGAAAAACGGTTTCGTTAGATTAAGTGGTTTAGGCATTTACTATTGAATAACGTTCTTACAAAAAATGTACGAAACACCTAAAAATGTTGTCTAATGAAACGTGCTAATTTATTACACGATAGGATGTACTTTATCCGATCATATAAACCCTGAAAATAAGCTAAAATAAAAAAACGAATAATTTAAGAATAAAACATATAACTTTGTACGCAATTTTACGGTTTAACAACACGCCGCGTCACTCGCTGCTCCATCAGTCGCCATCGGGCGCTTGTCGACTTTGGATCTGTGTCAAATTTACTCTGCCTGTTCTTATTTTATGTACATTAATTTTGAGCGCGAGTATTGCTGTACACGACAGACGTTACCTCACCTCCATAAATCCAGGTTCGCGTTGAAATACCGCGCCTTAAACAGTTTTAAAGTATGTTGTATTAGTCAATAACACAATGGTAATTTTAAGACTTTTAATAGGCCAAGTTACAAGTACACCCATATTTTGTCACAAGAAGAAAATTATCAAAATCACACGACTTAAGACGGATCCAAATTCGCCGACAAGATTTTTGACGAGAAGCTTCACTCTAATGCCTTCTTAATTCTTGTTTCTCGCAGGCGTCTCTAAACCATTTGCCAAGAATGTAGGTACCAAGAAAATACTGGATATGATATGATATTACAAAGATCGAACACAGAAAAATTATTTTGACCTGGACTTGCGACCACGCTATACCGTAGCGTTGTTCTGTCAACTGCTGTAGCTGTAGCAGATCGACGAAATTCTTGTCTTTGTTATATATCTTTGTATAGGGTTTTTTCGGCTTTCAACGCCGTAAGCGGCACCTTGTGAGAAATTTATGAACCTTTTTACTCAGCCGGTACCGTTACAGCTATCACAAGTTAGCGATGTCGCTTTATTAATGTATTATTGATTTTTGTTGAATTTCAAGATGTTTCAACACCATGTTTTGGCATATTTCGCTCAATGTATGGATATGTACAACTTCGTATGAGAATATCAAGAAAGTGTGGGCTTACAATTGGGTCCCAAGTCTGTTTATATTCAATCATCTCAGTTGTACGTCGATAGAGTGCCAATGGCAGGATTTTTTAAGTTTCGTATTTTGTTAAAAGTTAAGAGAAGTGGCTTCTTAATAGCTACCCATTGAGCTACTATACAACTGCCATTGCAATTTTTATATTCTGCTCCTCAATGGCAAGTTGATGACATGGTCTACTAATTATTGACATAAAGAAAACACATTTCATTTGTAGACTTAATTTATGTTCAAACGAGTTATAAATTAAGATATTACATATTTGTAGTTTAGTAAGGTAATGTCAATCGTCAGTGATTGAATAAATGCATCAACTGCCATTGCAACTAGACTTTAGCAGAATAACAAATATAATAATAATTGTAATGTAATGTAATACAATAATTATAAGCATAGTTTGCGTGAGAGAACGCGTTTGGGAAATCTGCGCGACATCTCATATTTGCCGAAGTATTTATTGCCGGGGTACAACAACGTTTACGGAATGCGTAAGCCAGATTTCATGCTGCCGAAAGTGTTGAACGACCTTCCAGCCACTGTACTGGTCGACCTGGAGGATAATGTCAAGAAGTGTAAAGCCATTCTTAAGAGACACTATATAGGTGGGGCGTCACTTTTGAATGGCACGTAACATAGATATACAGTGTAATTTTTTAAGTACCTAGCTTGTCAACTCTTCACTAGGCCGTTAAACCATAAGGTTTCTTACCTAGTGAAAAGAATAATGTTAATATTTTTCTTTTTGTTATGAATAAACTAAAAAAAAAAAAAAAATATAATCTCAGCCGAGTCCCATTGGAATTACACAGTGGTTTACACAAAACTAGCAGAACTGGAGCTCTGTCCTTACTGCCATACCGCCGTTCACTAACTAAAACACGGCTCAAGTGACATATGGTCAAATATCCGTTTTAAATAGGAAAAGATAGAGCACAAGATTCTCTTTTAAAAACAGATACAATTACTTAACGTGTCAGACTTATCGGAACTTACCCTAACGATATATAGCTGAAATATCATTTAACAATTTCAGTATTCTAAAACTGGGTTATGGTTTTTTATGATATCTCATAAAAAATATTTTGTCACTTAGCGTATTAATTAGCGGGCGGCAGCATAGACAATTGGCACACTACTGCCAGAAATTAAAAATAACAACTACATCCAGACTGATCTAATTTTTTTATTATCCACTGTAACACATCACTACTTAACTTTGATATCATGTATAGATAACCAGCACATTTTTATTGTGAATTATTGTTGACACTGTTCCGAAGGTTCTTTTATATTCTATCGGTGGTCTTATATTCGGGAGACATTTTATAAAAGAGAGTAAATCGGTACGTTATAAGGAAGTAAAAGGGTTCGCCAACTTCGGTACGAGCTCCCATCAATGAATTGCCGATTCAGGTTTTTTCT